GTTCTTGCAGGGTTTGCCTGAGAACAAGGTGACGGGGAAGTACCGGGAACGGCCCTTGGCACTCAGGAGCCTTGTGAAGACTGTGGCTCGTTATTCTATGGCTGCCGATGCAGGGTGGGGCCGGGGGCCCAGAGTGACCTTGAAATAATAGGGAAACCTCTCAAGTGGAGAAGTGGGGAGGCAGCACCCCAGGAGAGGGGCCTGCATTGGACATAGCCGCCCAGGGCAGATCCAGGAGCTGCCTGAATCTGCAGATGTTTGGGAAGGGGCCCACCCAGCTGTGGCCTCCTGGGAGAGAAGGCCCAGACGCTGGGCGTGATTCTGTGGGCCGACTCTCTCTCAGTCCAAATCCTATTACCAACTAATTCCCCTCCCCCTTAAAAAAACTGCAAATAAATTGGTTTGCCTTTTACACTCGGCTTACTCTGAGCAAAATAATGTCCATGAAATTATAAGTTTGATGTGAAAACCAGCTATTTCTACGTTTTGTGCACTCGCATTTAAACGAATGCAGACCCATGGGATGTTCTAGAACATGATGGTCTGCACGGAGCCCCACCGTGAGTTCACTGCCAAAACCTTTTACAGGCAAGAGCGCCAAGCAGGGGTCAAGCGTGTGTTTGGAAGGAGTCCAGAAAGGCAGGGGGGTCTGATCCTGGTTTCCTCCGACGCTCTCCGTGGAATAACGAGTCCAGCTCGTGGTTAAGGAACCTCACCTGCAGCCTCGCCCCAGCCCTGGGCTCCTGGTTGGTGACAGGCGCTGTTCGCACCTGCTGCGGGGCAGGTGGGTCTGCCGGGCGCCGGGCACACACTGCCCTCTGCAGGCAACGTGGAGCATTGCGTCACTGGAGAGGGGTCTGGCTGGTCTGGCAGATGTAAATTTGCATTCGATTCTCATCTTGCCTCTCCCGAGACGGCAGTGGAAGCAATAATGATGGTCCCTTGGGCTGTTCGTATCCTCTTTGAAGAGGTAATGCATTCACACGATTCCAAATTCAAAGGTACAAAAGAGCCTTGTGTAAAAATTAAGTTTTCCACTCTCCCCCAACCAAAGCCCCCCTCTGCGGTTCTCCTCCCTCGAGGCGTCCACCCAGCTAATTTCTTATGTGTCTTTCCCCGACTCTTTTTCAAACAGTTCAAAAAACAGAAAAATCGCTTGTCCACCAAAATAAAGTCACCTAGACAGAGGAACAAGTTTAATACTGACTTTATCCATTCCTAGGCACACCCAAGATAGATGAGACTATAAACCAAACAAAAATCATTAAATTAGCCAGGCATGGTGGTGCACCCTGTCATCCCAGTGGCTGGGGAGGCTGAGGCAGGAGGATCCCGAGTTCAAAGCCAGCCTCAGCAACGGCGAGGCCCTAAGCAGCTCAGTGAGACCCCGTCTCTAAATAAAACACAAAGTAGGGCTGGGGACGTGGCGCAGTGGTGAGTGCCCCTGTGGGAAAGGCGGGTGCAGAAGAGAACAGCAGAGCCCAGCTCCTCCCTCTGCGGCCGCTGGGTGTGCGCTCTCCCTCACTTCTGGGGGACAGCGCTGCGTTTCTATAGATCTTCTGGCCACCCTAAGTGCCATTGTTAAATGGTGTGACTGCAAGTGTGACTCATCTTTAGAATCCTCCCTCCTTGGCAGGGGTTCTCCAACTGGACATGAGGAAGGCCGGCTGCTCTCTTCCCAGGGGAGGGGACGGCGCTGTCTTGACCGACTGTTAATCTGAGAGATGGGGGCGCTGGGGCTTCTCCCTCTGCTGTGGGGTGTCAAGGGGGACCCTGCCTCCTGCTGGAGACCCTTTAGAGAGGACTTTGTGCTGGCTGTCCCACACTGGGTGCTCAGCTAGACCCGGGGGACGTGGATCTAGCCCAGCAGCCTGTCCCTTCAGTGGACGAGCGAATTCTTCGGGGGAATTCGCTTAGTGACGGGGGAGGCTGTCACTGAAGAGAAGCCTGAATGGTGGTAAACGAGGCCATTGCTGCCCTTCCAAGCCCTGTGGACCTGGCCACCATGTCCCATGATGACCTCCTAGTGATGTCCCTATCCCTGTCACCTCCTGAGGCTTTCTCTGGCACCACAGGGACAAGTCAGAGTGCTGGGGACTCGGGACCCGGGCAGCATCCCTCACCCAGCCAGGGATGGAGTGGGAGGGTGACACCCCAGCGCCCCCTCCCCAGCTGTGTCCTCTCCACCTCCCAAATTCCTGCAGGACGGAGCCCCGTGCACGGGTGGGAACTGCCCGTCCATGCACAGGGCAACGGCTCCTTCCATGCGCTCCCAGATTAGCCAAGGCCCATGGAGCACACGTCTTGGCTCGGATTCTGCCCCCAGGAAAATCCACAGCCAAGTTGCTCCTTAGGAAGTGGAGATGCTCACCCCCGCAGCCTGCTCTTGGCTGAGGCACCACTGTTGAGCTCCAGGACAACAGGAGCACATCGCGTAGTTGGATGCTCCTGTGGACGGAGGGCATTCGCATGGGTCGGGTCTCTCTACTGACATCCTGGATTAGCTCATTCTGTATGACAGTAGGGGATGATCCTGTGTGTTGGAGGATGTTTAATGATGTCCCTGGGCTCAACTCAGCAACAGTGCCCATCTGTAAGGACACCATGTCTCCAGACATTACCAAGTGTCTCCTGGGGACAAAAGTACCCCACGTGAGAACCACTGACATGACTCACCTGATGCCATTCGACATAAACAGTGATCTAAAGAGGGAAGAATAGTGGTGGTGATGGTGGTAGTGATGGTGATGGTAGTCATGGTGATGGTGATGGTGGTCATGTGATGGTGATGAGGAAGATGGTCATGGTGATGATGATGCAAATGGCAATGGAGATGGTGGTGGTGACAGTGATGATGGTCATGGTGGTGGTGATAATAGTGATGGTGGTCATGGTCATGGTGGTGATGGTGGTCATGGTCATGGTCATGGTTATGGTCATGGTAGTGATGGTGATGATGACCATGGTGATAGTGATGGTCATGGTGATGGTGATGATGGCTATGGTGATGGTCGTGGTGGTGATAGTGAAGACGATGGTGATGGTCGTGGTGGTGATGGTGGTGAAAGCAATGATGATGATGGTAGTGATGGTGTTGATGATGGTAGTGGTGATGATGGTGGTGATGGTGATGGTGATGATGGTGATGGTGATGGTCCTGGTCATGGTGATGATGGTCATAGTCATGGCAGAGATGGTGATGATGATGGTGGTAGTGATGGTGATGGTGGTGGTGGTGATGGTGGTGATGATGGTGGCGGTGATGGTGATGATGGTGGTGATAATGATGGTGGTGGTGATGGTGGTGATGCTGGCAGTGAAGGTGGTGGTGATAATGATAGTGGAGGTGATTGTGATAAAGGTGTCCATAGGGGAACTAGAACATAATGACATAACATTCAAATGACCTGATCACACATGCCCAGGTGCTAACAGGGAACCTGGAACTTGACCCACGACCTTCTGGCTCCTTTCCTCCTCCCCATCTAGTAGTGGAAAGGCCCATCATATGAAAGGAACTTTGGGGGAACCGCATGCCGCCATCACAGTGAGGAAGCAGAGGGTCCACCCGGGCCTCCTGGTCCCCAAGCCAGGTGCCCTCCAGCCCGCTGCCCCTTCCTCTTTGGTGGAGAAGACAGAGCAGTGGTAGGGCCTCAAATGCAAGCCGTTGGCACCCTTGAGGGTGCGCTACTGCATTTAGGTCATTGAAGGGATGACAGAGTGCAGCCAAGGGCACGCCTGGACTGCACTGCTAGCCACCACCGGCTGCTGTGGGCTTAGAGGAGAGCCTCTCCCATCACCGGTGGCCCTGGCGGAATGCAGCATCTCCCCGTGACTGGGGTGCTCGTGGTTTCTTGAGCACCTACTGTGTGCCGGAAGGTGGTGACTCCAGCATTTCAACACAGCAGGGTTAGGGGCTGCCGTCTAGGTGAACACCGGCAGGGGCCATGCGGGGTCCAGGGGGCGGTGTTCCGAGGCCCCGTGTTTGAAGCCGACAGAGGGCTCTCACAGGAGGTCGCCCTGGTGGGGGCACAGAACAAAGGACAGAGAGCATTCCCCGGGTTGGGGGAAGTCCTCGTGAGGAATTCTGAGGTGCTAGAGGAGGGTTTGGGGTGAGTAACACACACCCCTGCTCCCCAAAGCAGACCTTCAGCAGGGTCTTGGGTTTCTGCTGTCCTCTGGCTACTTGCAGCACCAGCGCAGGTGCCTGTCACCCTCCTCCCCCTCCCAGCCTGGAGGCAAACCCCGCCTTTGGGCGTTGGATGAAGCAGGGTGGCGGGGCTCAGCGGCTGTCTGTCTGTCTCCCTGCGCCTGTTCCGGGAACCTGCAGGGAACTGCGAGGCCACGCCCACCCCCTTCTAGAGCCCTTCAGCCCCGAGGCCCCAACTGGGTTCCTTAAGCCCTTTTCCGTCTGAGCCCCTCAGGAACCCTGCGGGCTCCCGCGCAGCGCCCCGTCCCAGGCAAGCTCCACCAGACCCTCACCAGGCCGTCTCCTCCATGGCCCCTGCTTGGGCTTCTCCCGACTACAGCCTCCCAACCTCCAGCTCTCTTATACTCCCGGGTTTGGAGCAAGCCTCGCCGCCCCCAGGAAGGCCTCCGTGATGCCCCCAATCCCAATTAGCCGCCCTCCTCTGCTGTCCCGTGGATCCTAACTCCTGCCCGGAATCCCTGGCTTATAAGTTGAGATATACCCAGGATGCCTCTGGGTGCAGTACGGTGCCTAGCACGTAGTAGGTGCTCAGAAAATGTTAGGGAGGGGAGAAGGAGAGGAGAATGATGTAAGAGAGAACAGAAAAAGCAGAGCGAAAAGAAAGGAACCCACAGATCTGTGGGCGGGGTTTGGGGAGGGAACCGCATGTCCTGGTCCCCTCTGCAGTCTGCGCCTGCGTCACCCCCGCGTCGCAGTCTGGGGCCTGACATGGAGCACATCTTAAGAAATTATGTGTTCCCTTAAAAAATCAACCGAGCGCTCATCGACTGCCCCCTCTCTGCCCTCGCAGCCTGAACCTCAGCAACAGTGACATCCTGACCATCTACGATGGCGATGAGGTCACGCCCCACATCCTGGGGCAGTACCTTGGGAACACTGGCCCCCAGAAACTCTACTCCTCCACACCGGATCTGACCATCCAGTTCCACTCGGACCCTGCCGGCCTCATCTTTGGAAAGGGTCAGGGATTTATCATGAACTACATAGGTAGGTGTCTCGGATTTTTTTTTTCCCCTTTAATAATGGTTTCCCTAGATATACCTGTTAGAAAGTTCTGTGCCAAGGAGATTGTTAATATATTGGTACAGTCAATATGTATGTTTTTTTAAGAATCTGGGCTAGGGTTTGAGTCTCAGTACTGTCATCAATGGCTGTGTGACCATGGGCAAGTTACTGACCCTCTCTGAGCCCCCTTTTTGTCATCTGGGAATATGGGAATAGTGGTTACCGGGTTTCGTCTGTAGTCAGCTGATATTGTACATCTCAACAGCCCTGCTCCCATATCTGTACCTTCTCAAAACACACGCTTCAGCTTCTTGCCTGAATTTGAGGCTCAGCTTTCCCTAGGATTTTTCTCCCCTGCCACCCTGTCAGACAGGGACAGTTCTATGTCTCCCACTTCATGTACTTTGGGCCCTAGAGATACAACAGGCGTCTGCCTTGATCCTCAGCGGGGCTGCCTGCCCTTCCTCTCCTGCTCATCTTGAAACAAAGCCAAGAAGCACTCTGCCATACCATTCAAGCTATGTCCCATGGAACCATCCTTGTCCCTCCCCCGTCACCCGCCCTCCCTCCTTAGTGGCTCCATCCTCAGTCCCAGCTCAGCCTCTAAACCCGGGCTCCATCCTGGCCTCCGTCCTCTCCTGTCTGTGCTGTCCTCCAGGTGTAAACAGCACCATGTTCCAGGGACCTGTGGTTGGCACTTCCAGCCTTGACCGTGAACTTGACCAAACAGCTCCCTGTGACCCACTCTCGAATGTCTCCTGGGCTCAGACCTAAGGTGGCCGGAGGGAAGGGTTTCGCTCCTTACCCACCAGGGAACCACCACCAGGCGTGTTCCCATTCCGGGAGAGGGGACCTTGCTTCTTGGGCTGGCTCCTCTTCCTGTCCCCCACGTCCACCCACCGCTCAACTCCACTTCTCAATGTGGCTCAGACCCAGGCGCCACCCCACACCTCTCCACGGCCCCCACCTACCGCCTGCCCTCCTCCCGGCAGTGGGGAAGCTGGGTCGCCATGAGGTCCCAGTGAGCCTGGCCCTGGGAGGGACGTGATGAGCACAGAAGATCTGGCCCAATCCTGTGGGGTCACACAGCCCCAGACCAGGGAGGACGAGGGACTCCCCCATCCAGGCACAGCCGGGGCCAGCCCTCTAAGCTCCTCCAGCAGAGACCCTGGAGCCATGGGGTTAACCAGGACCTGTCCTCCGCAGACATCCCGAGGACGGTGGGTCACACCTGCAGGTTTCAGCAGGCAGGACCCAGCCAGTGACCAGAGCTAGGGCTGGTCCCTCCCAGAGCCATGGTGGCATCGTCATTCCCAGAGTGCATGAGGAGAGGAGGGTCCTGTCCACCACCACCGTCACCAAGGATGCTCTGGCTGGAGCCAGTGTCCACGTCTCGAGTTCCTTCGCGCCCTTGGCCTGGGGACTCACCCACCCTCTCTCACCTACGTGGCCTCCCTGCACCATTCCTGGCCTCTGAAGTACAAGCCGCTCCCCTGACCGTCTCAAAGCCTCGTGTGTGCTAAATTAAGGTCCCTGCTTCATCCTTCCCAGCTGGGAGACATTTTTCATTCTCGCCTGCTACATGTCCCCACTCAAAGACGCTAACACAAGTATCGATCCTTTGTTACGCTTCTCCAGGGCCCTGTTAGCCTTGATTGCGCTGCTAAATATTGTCAGAGTGCTACCGCAACTAGACCTTGAGTCCCCCCATCGGGCACATCAGGGGAGGGCTCAGATGGCTGTCGGGCCAGGTGCCCTCGGGCCAGCTGGGGGGGGCAGCTGGTGGCTGGGTTCAGGCTGCCTCCTTAGACCTCCCCTCCCCCGGCTGAAAGACACGCTGGTGGCTGTGCCCACCTCCCCTCCCGTGCCGAGTCCACCCTCCGGAACCAAGGTCAGCCTGGTGGCACACGTCCCCCTCTATCGGAGGCTGATGGAAGTCAGGGAGGCAGTCCGGCTGAACTTGAAACTTAGACTTGTGTGACATTTTACAGTTGACAAGTGGACACACACACACACACACACACAATTTTACTTCGCAGGAAATGTGCTATCTCTGATTTCCAGAGAGTTTTGCTCACCAAAATCTCTTGAAATCTCCTGTATGCTGGTTCCTCACTGGGCACGGATGGTGGGGATGCTTCCCAGGAGACACGCAGCCTGATGGATTTGGGTAACCCGAGAGAGGGTGGGGGGTGGAGAGAGAGAAGAGTTTCCATGGTTCTTGTTTCTGTTAAAGAAACACCATTAACCTCCCAGGAATGGTCTACAGAGCTCTGTTTCATTTTCATGCTGATCAATTGTCAGTGACTGCTTCAGTTGAAGACCCTGTAGAAAAGCATTCAGAAGAGTCCCCTCTGAAACCAGGGGAAAGGATGCCGCAATTGATTGGTGATGCCTGTCACAGGGTGGGAGAGGTGTCTGCTCCCTGGGTCTAGATTTAACCAACATGGACACAGCTCTCATCCAGGGGAGCTGTCTGACGGTCTCTAGGGATCTGGGGTCTCTAGATAGCACTGAAGCTCCTCATCTTACCTAAAGTCCTAACCCCAGCTCTGGAAGGTGGCCAAGACTTAATCTGCTTGGATGCTTCCAGAAAGACCCCGGGGCTGAGTGCTCTGACCTCCCAAACCTCCTTGGCACAGACGGATGCCCTTGCTGTTCTTTGCCCAGTGCCTGTGGCCAAGTAATATAAAAGCACGGAGGAAGGAGCAGTGCTCTTTAAAGAGACATTGGTCACTTGGGACCTGTGGATTCCTCAAACCACAGGGTGAGAAACCAGCTCTATGCTGTCGGCCAACTGCAATCACATGGCAGCCGCGGTCTGGAGCGCTGGACTGAAGATCGGCGGGTCTGGGTTTGACGCTAACAGAGGATGGATTAGTGATGTCTGCCAGGAACAAGGGGCTGGTGGGCAGTGGTGCCTATGTGGTGACTGGGCCACCTCTTTTTGGTGCTCATCTTGACCGTGAACCTGAAAGCGTGACTTCAGACCTTTGGTGCTTATTGAGGTGCCCACGGGACCTTAGTCCGACAGGTAGATGGAGTCACAAGGCTCAGCTTAGGGCGCACACAGCACACAGGTCTTGATTCTTGACCTACCGATGACAACAGTGACGCCCACAGCGGGTGATGGATGTGGCAGGAGCCACGCAGCCTCTCAAGGAAAGAGGACCGAGAGAGAGGGTTTCCAGTTTCTCATTCTTATAACCAGGGACAGATCATTCTAGAACCTCCATGGAAGGTTGGTGGGTGGAGAAACCGGCCGATCCCTGAACCCGGGTCCCTGGGCTACCATCTGGGAACCGAAGAAAGGGAAGTGTCCAAACCCAGGCTGCCCAGTTAGTAAACAGAGGGGCCGAGATTTGGGCCCCAGCTCTGCATTACGGTGGCAGCAACTGCATAAGTGACCTATATGACAAAGGCCAGGGAGGAGGAGGGGGCCTGCAGAGGGCGTGGGCGCAGGGCTCACGCTGAGACACCAGAGAAGCCCAGATTTCCCGGCAGCAAAGCATCTGATCCAAGGAAAGCCGCGTCCCTGTCTCTGCCCGGGTCTCCTCCTTCCGTGTCACCCAGCCTCTGCAGCTGTGTTCCAAATGCAGGGCTCGGCTGATTCTTCAAAGGCCTAAAAATAGAGGCCCCTGTCCCCCCACCAGGCTGTGCTGGAAGCCATTTCCCTGCCCCTCCCTCCAGCAGACACCCACGAGATCGAGATCTCCGCTCTCCAAATGCAGCCGTGATGAAATCCCAGGAACAGCCCGCTCCTCGGGACGGCTCTCGGCACACAGTGGGGACGCTTCACCTGCCCCAGAAGCACAGAGGAACTTCAGATTAATTACACGGCATAAGGGCTCCGTTCTCCGAGGCTGGCGGTGTGCGCAACAACGCAAAGATAGTAATAGTGGGCTCCGGACCGCTACCGTAGGAACAAGGGTTCAAGGGAGGACGAGAATGAATAAGCTCTCAGTGGCATTTCCCGGAGCATGGTTAGTGCTCCCTGGTGACATGCAATGTGACTAGAGGAATGTACTAATAATCCTTTCTGTTTGCATAGATAAGCCTTTATCTTAATGCGTATCATCTTAAGGTAGCTGGGCACGGTGGTGCTCACCTGTCATCCCAGCAACTCGGGAGGCTGAGGCCAGAGGATCGAACGTTCAAAGCCAGCCTCAGCAACTCAGCGAGACCCTGTCTCTAAATAAAAAAATAAAAAGGGCTGGGGATGTGGCTCAGTGGGTGAGCACCCCTGGGTTCAATTCCCAGTACCAAAAAAAAAAACCAAAAACCCTCAGTACAGGTCTTACTGATTCACCAAATGCACCGATTGCCAGAGAGGAAGAAGTTGAATGTATTGCTAATCGATTTCTGTGTAATAGATTCTACCCCAAATTAGCCATCAATAGGCATTATCTCACAAAGTCTGTGGAATGAGGAGCAGCCTGAGCTGGCTGGCCCTGCCTGGGGGTCTTCATGAGGTCAGGGAGGGTCCTGGTCATTCCAGAGGGGCCGGATGACCTGCTTCCCAATGGCTCAGACACGTGACGGGCCAGTGGGTGCGAGGCTTCAGTTGCTCCCATGGGGACTGCTCCACAGGGCTGCTTGGGCACCACCACAGGGCAGCTGCTCTCTCCGGAGCCAGGGGTCCAGAGAGAGCGAGGAGACAGCCTCTGTGTATGTGCCAGCCCCACCTGGTCACCTTTGCAATGGCCCGTTCAGTTCAGGTGGGGACCACAGAGAATGCATTCTGGGAATGAGCAGGTCCTGGAATCCACAGGAGCCCGGCCTCTGCGTGGCTGCTCCCTGGTGGCTGTGGAACCAGGCACCCGGGGAGGAGCAACGGCCGGGATGCGGCAGCACTAGGCTCTGCCTGGCTCCATATCCTAAGCTGGTTTTATCCAACCAAGAGTTTCCACCAGTCAGTCCCAGGGTCTGTGGGAGGGATCGTGGTGAAATCTCCCTATGAAAAGAGTGGCCGCCTCTCTGGGGATTCAGACAGTGTTGCTTCTTTCGTGAAGGTTTTTCTTCTATTTGTTCTTTCTTCCAACATTGACACGGGTATCCAGAGCCAGAAAGGCCCCGTCCCCTCTAAGGATGCTGTTTCTGTTTTGAAGAGGTATCAAGGAATGACTCCTGCTCAGACCTGCCCGAGATTCAGAACGGCTGGAAGACCACTTCCCACACGGAGCTGGTGAGGGGGGCCAGAATCACGTACCAGTGTGACCCGGGCTACGACATTGTGGGCAGCGACACCCTCACCTGTCAGTGGGACCTCAGCTGGAGCAGTGACCCCCCATTCTGTGAAAAAAGTAAGAGTCCCCTTGTTTCCTTCCCCTAAGTCGGTGGTGGTGAGTCCTGCCCTGTTTATCGGCTCAGCCACCCCCTCCCCTCCACGAATGCTGATTTGTAGGTCCCGGTGAGCGCTCAGGCTCGGCCCTCAGAAGCCTGGAAGATGTGCAAATGAGTGGAATGGGTTGGAGGTGAGACAGTAGGGAGTGGTGGGGACTGCGGTGAGAGGAGCATGCGGCCTGTTCAGAACCAGCACCCAAACGCAGGTCTTCCAAACACCTGGGCCAGCAGAGAAAACGAGCCTGGGACGCCCTAAGACAGGAGCCCCCCTCCTAACCCCAAGTCTCATGGAGCTGACTGCCTCCCGAGCCTGGCTCCCGGGCTCCGGGGCTCCTGATGCCTTCCCCCCGCTCACCATCCCTGCCTCCGCAGGAGAGTGACCAGGCAGGTGACCACGGCTGACTCTAGGGTCTGGAAGGGGGGCTTAGGAAAAGGAAGCGCTCCTGGTCTCTGCCTTAATGTCTGGTTCGCAGAGGGGGGAGCTAGACTGGGAGGAGCCCCTCCCCTGGCCACTGGCTTCCCACCTCCTCAGCCAAGCTGTAGTCCCCAGCCTCCTGCCAGGACTCCTGGGGACACACATAGACCAGCATGTCTTGAACACGACTTGAATCAGAGGAGCACACTAAGAAATGGGGTTGGCAGAGGGAACAAAAGGTATCGGGAAGGGACGTGGGGTCCCCTATAAACTCCCTATCATAACCGCTTCCAGAAAGTGTCCTTACTGCAGGGACAGAACAGGCGCTGCAGGAGGCCCACAGAACCAGCGAGTGGGTTGTCCTGGGTGTCCCGTAACTGTGTGTGTGTGTGTGTGTGCGCGCGCGTGTGCATGTGGACAGAAGATAAAGCAGTGAGGAACGAGCTCCCCTGGACCAGCTCATGAGCGTGGTCCACAGCCCCGCCGCCATCCGGAGCACCTTAAAGGCTTGGGAAGGTCATAAACCAGCCCTCGGTAGAAACGACTTCTTGCTCGCCTTCATCTTTGCCGAGAAAAATCTCCAATCCGAGTCAAGAAATTTTTAAATTACTTGAAATCTAAGATTTTTCATTTCTAAAATCCTGGAGTCTGTATTTGAGCAGTTCTGCTTCCGGGCCAGCCCTCGAGGTCCCACCCGAGCGGAGGACACCCACCAAGTGGCCCCAGCCCGCCTCCCTTCTAGAGAAATGAGGTCCGGGGAGCCCCCGGAACAGTGGGCGCCCCTAGGAAGGCCTCTCTGGGGCCAGCGACCCTCCTGACATTGGCAGTGCCCAGAGCCAGACCGTGGGCACCCACTGGCAAAGCAGGCTGGCTAGGCGGGGCGGTCACAAAGAGAAGGGGACAGTCCCTTATGACCTGGCTCTCTGGCAATGGAGAAGAGGGAAGGAAGGAAGGAAAACAGAGAAAGAAAAAGGGGGGAGAGAGAGAGAGAGAGAGAAAATCAATAGCTACAAAGACATTTTATTGTGGAGGGATTTGTTCCAACTGCCCAGCAACTGTCCTGGGTTGTTGTTTTTTTTTTTTTTTTTTTTTTTTTTAACTCAGAAAAATGGAGGTATTTCCACCCCATACATACTGCCTACCTCACTCCTTCTTAATTGGTTTATTGTTTTACTTTCGTCTGTATTGATTCTTTAATTAAAGAAGTACTGGATTCTTGCTTTATCTTAATCAAACACTGTGAAGAGGAGTTACCCTGCTTTGTTCCCGTCAGTGGTGACTCAGGACCTCCTGAGGTGGCTGCCCATATTTAGCACTTCCCTCCTTAAAAGATTTGCACGGCTGCCAGGCAAGGTGGGGCACACCTAGGATCCCAGTGGCTCCGGAGGCTGAGGTGGGAGGATGGCAAGTTTGAGGCCAGCCTCAGCAACTTAGTGAGGCCCTAAGCAACTTAGTGAGGCCCTCTCTCTAAAAAGATATTTTAAAAGGGGGCTTCAGGTGGTACAAAAAAAAAAAAGAAAAAGATTTGCTTCACCTCCTTTTTAAACAAGTAATGGGGGGATGTATGGCCTTACCCATAGACCTTTGAGGCCCCGTGCAGATCCTAAGACAGGTTCCTAAAAGAGGCCTTACACCCGGGTCTCCTTCCTCCTGGCCCAGTCTCCAGCCTCCTTTAGCTCAACGAGAGATGCCCCTTTCGGAAATTTTCTAGAACATTCTGTAACTCTGGGCCAAGCCGCGATCTGACGCCTCTCGGTCTGATGTGCTCTCGCGCAGTCATGTACTGCACCGACCCGGGGGAGGTGGACCACTCGACCCGCCTGATCTCGGACCCCGTGCTGCTGGTGGGCACCACCATCCAGTACACCTGCAACCCGGGCTTCGTGCTGGACGGCAGCTCGCTCCTCACCTGCTACAGCCGCGAGACCGGGACGCCCATCTGGACCTCCCGCCTGCCCCACTGCGTCTGTGAGTCCCGGCGGCTGCTGCTGCCTCCTGCGCAGCTGCAGACCGGCTGCTTCTCAAGAAGGGCTGGGGGTGGCCTTCTGCTGTAGGGAGGGTCTTTATCCTCATGGCCACCACCCCACCGTGGCCAGCAGGGACCAGGGCCCTTGGACTGTAACATTTACCGTAAAGATACAGAGTACCCACCCAGTCCCCGCTCTTCTTCCTCAAGTAACACTGCGGTCTTCATTTGAAGAATAGGATGCTGAAGTTCAGAGAGGGTAATTGCCTACCTGGGGTCGCACAGCGAGTTGACAGTGGAGGTCAGATATAAACTCAGAGCTCTTTAAAGCCTTTCCTAGGGACTCTGCTGGGCTCTCAGGAGTCACGCCATTGCTTGAAGAAAGCACAGGGTCATGTAGAAGGGGCAGTGCTCCCCAGTAGTTGTGGGGTAGACATTGTCAGTGATGCTGCTATTTTCACATAGGGTACTGCGAACAGCCCCACTATAGACACAGCCAGGTCACAGTCAAGTGACTGCACAGGGACCTCCCCTCCCCACAGCAGCCCCTGGGGACCAGCCCGCATCACCTGGGCCTTGGGGGCACAATCAGCCTCCAAGCTGTGACAGAGAGGAAGGCAGATCACGATAGTCACTGTGCACAGAAAGCGTGGGACACGTGTCATCCATATATCGTGATTGTGCGTGAGTGTGCATGGATGTTTGGCGTGTGTGTGCATCTGTGAACATATCTGAGGCCCAGGGGGACGTGGTGGAGGTCACGACGCTCCCTCAGACACAAACTTGGGACTCTCCCCTCCACGTCCACTGCCGCTCACACCAGCCCTGACCCCGACCTCGTTTTGCCTTGGCTGACGGTCGGGGCACAAACTCACACACGGCATCCCAAAGAGACTTCAGCCTGTGGCCCTGCCCCTGAGCCTCGGCCACACCTCCTTCCGCAGTCCCAACGCTTGAAGGGAATCCACACCCTTCGTGTTCTGTTATGGGTTGAGTGGTATTCCTCAAAAGGGCTGGGTTAGGGTCCTGACCCCATAACTGTGACCTTTATCAAGATCAGGGCCTGCTGGGCACGGTGGCCCACGCCTGTCATCCCAGCAGCTCGGTAGGATAAGGCAGGAGGATCACGAGTTCAAAGCCAGCCTCAGCAAAAGCAAGGTGCTAAGCAACTCAGTGAGACCCTGTCTCTAAATACAAAATAGGGCTGGGGACGGGGCTCAGTGGTCGAGGGCCCCTGAGTTCAATACTGGGCACAAAAATAAAAATAGGGCATTTCTTTGCAAGTGTGACAAAATTAAGATGTGGTCCTATTATATTGAGGGGTGGGGTAGCTAATCCAGTGACCAGTGTCTTATGAGAGAGCCAAGCACTGGGGTGGGGCCTGTGGTTTTAGCTGCTGGGGAGGCTGAGGCAGGAGGATCACTTGAGCCCAGGAGTTTGAGGTCAGCCTGGACAACCTAGTAAGACTCTGTCCCAAAAGGAGGCAGGGGAAGGGGCTGGGAAACTGTGTGCACGTGGAGACTCAGCCTGGGCCAGGCCACGCGGGGACAGAGGCAGAGACAGGAGCTCCCGGCCTTGCCGGCCTCTACCGGAAGCAGAGACCCCACGGGTCTCAGGGCACAGTCCTGTTGCCACCTTGATTTCTGCCTTCCGACCTCCAGAGCCCACGAGCAGCTGTGGTTCTGAGTTGCATCAGGAAAGGAATGACGTTCTACCTTCCCCATGGCCACCCCAAGTGTCCCCAGAAGCCACAGTAGCAGCTCAGCGTCAGAGCCCAGGGAGGAGCCGCTAAACACAAAAGCATGTTTGGAGCACAGCAAGCGGAGCTGCCGTTGATTAAAAAGGAAAAGGGATTCCGCTCATGAGACGCAGCCTCCCCAGACCCTCCCGGGCTGCCCGGTCTTCCTAGATCTCCCAGCAGCGAGCGGCCTCCCTCCCCGGGGCCCCATCTGCAGGCACTTAGAGGCTCCCCGACAAAAAAAGACGTTAATGAGCCCGAGAGTCAAGCAGGTGTCAGGAGGCTCGCTGGGCTCCCAGGGGTGGGGAGAAGGTGCCCTGTGGTGGCAGCTGGGTTGCAGGCAGCAGGTGAGGGTGACAGGGGATGACAGGGGCCTGTGACAGGTTTTTGGACACACCCCCAGCTCTGCTGGGTGACTTTGGGCAAGTAACTTGACCTCTCTGGCCTCAGAGCCTTTGCCTGTGAAAAGAAGTCATACCGTCTGTGGAGCAGGGTATGCTTCCGTTACTTTAGGGTCTTGGATGACCCTGTCCATGATGGATTGACCCCCTCATCGGGAGCCTGTGGCAGCACATTCCAGCAGCATTACCTGGTGGAACGAAACTCCTACCCCAGCACAAGGACGCGGGAGCAGAGGCGGCTGTGGGCCCGCCCCCTTCCCAGGGCACGCCCCCATGACCTAAAGCCTCCTGCCAAGCCCCGCCTCTTCACGGTTCCATCCCCCAACAGCACCAAGCTGGGACCAAGCCCTGACTTGTGGGCTTCCAGGAACCCTTGAGATACACAGTGGGTAATGGCAGCAGCTCATTCACTCAGTAGGCGCCTTCTGTATGCAGCCACATCAAAACTGAGGCCCCCACGCTTGATGCCCTGGTGACCCGAGTCCCTGGGCCCACACACCCGGTGGCCCACTTACAAGGCAGTTGGTGGGAACAACATTCAACCTCCTGCGTCTTGGTGGTGCTCTACCTGGGATCTGAGGTGCCTAGAGGCTCCTGGGCTCCCTCAGGAACGTCCAGAGCTGCAGGACGGGGTCCTGAGAGCTGTGACCGCAGCTGTCCTTCCTGGTTGGCATGGCCTGGGGGGGTGACGGGGCAGGTGGGCAAGGCTGGCGGACGTGGGTGGGGGTGGCCTGGAGGGATGCGTCCTCCCGGGCCCCTCCTCTCTGCCCAGAGTCTGTCCCTGGGTGAACTTGGGGATGACCTTGAGCTTGTGGAGCAGTTCACAAGGGTCTGACGGATGTCCCTGTGTCCCTCAAAAGTTTTGAAAGCCCTCATCGCCCTCCTGTGAGTGCCTGGTGGCACCCCAGGGTGCCCTGGGGCAAAGTTTGGGAACCACGATGCTAGCCCCTGGACACACGGCAATGGCCAAGCAGGCAGACATGATCCACACTCTCACGGAGCCCGGGGCCTACGGGGAACCAGGGAGGAGAAACAGGCCTAGGAGGGAAATAGCAATCCATCTTTGGGTCACCTCCTCCAGGAAGTCCTCCTTGACCCCAGGACTGGACCGTGTTTCCCACAGAACCTAGAGACCATCTCTCACGGCACATGCTGCGGCTTATCGCAGCCATCTGTTGAGAGCTCATAGGATCAGACACGAAAGTCACTTACTGGGATGGCATTCAAACTTCCCAGGCCCTTCACAGAGCGCCCTGAACTCGGGGTATAAGGATGTTGCAGCTGGGCCGAGCCCCCATCTGCTGTGGCCAGACTGCGGCCGCGGTCGGGGCTCATGGGCAAGCCTCCCCCGTCGGCCTCCCTCGGCCAGCAAGTGGAGGCTGCTGAGTGTCGATCTTCATTTAGAAAAATACTGAGCTCTGAGAAAGCAAAGCCCAGAGAAACTCGGGAGGACCCTGGGGATTAAGCACAAGAGGGGCTCCTCATTAGAGAAAACCGTTACACACACAGGACACAGAGCACAGCGGGTCCCGGTGACACCCCAGCCCTGCTGCTTACCGGTGGTGTTATGTGGCTTCAGACAAGCCGATTTCCTCCTCCAGAGGATTAACAGCTGAGCACCGGCCTGAAAGCTCACAGTGGCGTGCCCGGCATGCAGCAGATGCTCAATGAACGCTGGGTGCCCGGCATGCAGCAGATGCTCAATGAACGCTGGGTGCCAATTCCCACAGAGTTCCAGTGCTGCACGACTCACGGGGTCTTCTACAAACCAGTCGCGACAGTCACGGCTTCATCTTGAGCACTTTGTTCAAATGTCCTCTAAGAGGAGCATCTCTTCCTTACAGAGAGGGAAACTGGAGGAAGAGCAGAAGAAGGAGCAGGCTGCGCTTCTGTCTGTAAGACGTCAGAGGACTCCCCAGAGAGCGCAGGATGACGTCACTCCAGTTACCACAGAGGTGTCAAAACCTTAGAGGGTGGTGGTCAGAGAACCCTGGTCCTGAAATTTCTAGAGAATCCTTGGTGGTGGAAACGGGGTGCAGTCCATATCTAGGACACAGCCCCCACCACAAAGAAGGACCCGGCCCCAAATGCCAATCATGCCAAGATGGAGAAAACCCACCCAGGATGACCTCATTTCGGGGTGTGGGGGCATACTACTGCCCACCCACGATTCTGCTAAGCTCCGAGTGTTGGCGCAGCCCTGTCTATTGAGCAGATGAGAAAAATGGAGACCAGAGACATAAAGCGACTCATCCAAGGTCACACAGCAGACCCAGGTCTCCAGTTGTAAATTCAGGCCACTTTCTGGATCCCTCTCCTGCCACCTCCGGGGCTCTGAAGGTGCACACTCAGAGAGAGCTGCTTCTACCGGGGAGTGAGTCCATCTGAAATCCTTCTCACACTCTCACTTACGCTGGGATCCAAGCTGAGTTGGACCGACTTGCGAGGCCCAGAATCCTAGACACACAGCTCAGTCACCACCTTCTTGGAGACTTTTCACACATGAGTCCCCAAAACCTCAGTGGCCTCGTCTGTCAAATGGGTGCATGGTGCAGGAACAACAGATTCCAGGTGCCTGTGAACCTGGCTCGGCCAGTCACTGGTCTGGGCCTCTAGCAGATGACCAGCGGTTCTGAGCTTCGTGTCCTCCCATCTCAGATGAGGACGAGGTAACGGCCTTGTCTTGGGGTCCCTGTGATCATGAATTGAGGGCCTCGATGGGAAATTCCCAATGGTGTCTGGTCCCTAGGACGCTCTCGGTGAGCGTGGCTACTCTGGCCAGTTCTGTCCCTCCCTCTGAGGAGGCGAGGAGGATCAGAGGTGATCTCTGCAAGTCATCCCATACAGGATGGATGTTCCGATG